CCCTAATCTCCCTTCCCCAATGCAAGACGGCTCACACCACTGCAACAACAATGGCAGACTACCTCATCACTTTACAAGTGTTACTCTTGGCTTTGTGAGCCTACGTTAGCATCCATGTTTTTTATTCTTCTTGGAATTAGGCAAACTGGCTGCTACACTAAGGTTTCAGTGAAACTGTCAAAAAAATTACATCCTACGTCCTTCCCTAAACACTTTTCATTGACCTTGATGGAAAACATCATAAGGTCGAGGAAAGACGTGCTAAAGAATTCATGAGAACTTGAAAAATGAAAACAGACCACATTTAGATGAAGAATTGCAACCACTATGAAAGCATGGATAGGTGTATCTTCTGCTAACGGAGATAAGAAAGGAAGCACTGAAGCACCTTTCCTTAGCCATTTGACCGGCTCTTATCATGGCTGCTGTTCTCTCACTCAGTTAGGAACCTTCTTGAGAAAAAAAAAATCAGTATTTGATCCTATCTTATCTTTGGCTTTAGCTGTGTGGGTCACAATAATCCCAGCCATAGCCTCGAAGATGAGCAGTTCTTGGTTTTAGACCAAGAAAGTTTTGGTGCTGCTCAGGAACCAGTTTTCCTGTCCGAGAGCTGCTACTTTGGAGGTTGAAATGTGAAGAACCAGTTGGAGATGTCCCGCTGGCCCCAAACTGGCCCTCGATCTGCTTTGGTGGAGAAGGAGTAACAGCTTCTTTTACAGCCAAGGCCGACAACTTTCCCCATAACTAAGGTTGTATGAACTCATATGGAGAGTTTAGAGCTTGGCCTGCTGCTCCAACTAAGCAGTGCAGCTTTAAATGTGTAGATTGGTCTTTCCTTATTTTTGATTTTATGGTGTACAAAACATCACTTCTGAAGATGTCGTCTGTGTGGGTCACAATTCATTCATATTTTACAGGCACATAGTCAATCAGTGTATTCAAAGAAGTGGGAAACTATTTGATAATGTAAATAAATACAGGTTACAGCCCTCTCTAAAACCAGCTCCAATATTTTACCTGTGTATTCTTTTACCCACAAGCTAGAATATATAAACACATGAACAGATTTCCTTCTAAGAAACAACCAAGAACGTGTTTCAGTCACAACCCAGACCTGCAGTGTCATGAAACCACGCTACAAACCTGTTCATTGCTGGAGGCTGGAGAGGGTTAAGTTGCAATTTATTCATTAGCTGCTGATCTTCCCACAATAAATCATAGTGAGTTGCTGACAATGGCTCCATCTTTACCCCTTTTCTTTAAATATTTCACATGTAGCCCTCCTTACACTCCCCTTATGCACAGGGCTGACGCAAAAACACAACTTATTTGGTCATTTATTCAACACGAGAGCGAGCCTCGCTACACATTTTCTCACAGACACAGAGGAGAAAAATGGAGTGATGAGGTTAAGAAGAGGCTAAACCCGGTGCGAGGGCGGGCAGGCTGAGGAGGAGGAGGCCGGTGGTTGCTGGAGGTTTATTTTCCCTGTTCTAGAGAGCTGTGCGGCGTTTCTGCGATTCTCAGACATTTCCTGCTCTGGCCACTGAAAATAACCCACAGGAAAACAGGCCGACCTGCTGCACATCAATGCTCTATTCAAATTCAACGCCACTGGCTCAAAGGCTAACTTTCACGCTGCCGTAAACACAAACTGTTCGTGCCACCTGTGCAACCTGTCGCACAAAGCGGTTCCCACATTGAAGCTATGGGTCACCTGGAATTACTGGACAGCAGCAGCAGCAGCAGGGGTTAATATCTGTACAGCAGGTCTGGACCTCAGCCTACATCAACTTTCAGGCTCTTTTTTTTCCACTTACACAAACACAGACACGCCATTGTTGCTGGTATAAAAATGTCTTTCTCTGTTTTGGCCCTGAACAGATTCGCTCTCAGCCTTTTCTGTTACGCTGAGATTTCTCTGACTCAGGTGATAAATAATCTCTAGACGTGGAATCTGATAGCTGCTGTATCACGTCAGAGAAATGATGAAAGACAGTACGAGTGCTCGAAGGATTAGAGGATTAATGAGCTGACAGACTCAATAGCTGCTTTGTCCATCTTCTAGATGCGAGTGTAAAGTGAATATTTAGAGGGTTTGGAGTGTTTGCAATCAGAGCTGCATGATGTCTAGTTTCAGCATCCATACTGCAATGTGAACATGTACGTCATGTTACTCTTGTTTTGTTGCTTGATTAAAAGAGAAAACTTGCACGGTCCTCATTTTACGCTTCTAATTAACAAGAGAATTCTTTCTTATAGAGCACACTTTACCCTGAATTAAGGGTTCTTGGAAATGTGGAGTTTTTGTGTTTATTTACAAGACACGGAGTTTGTTGACATGCAGGCTCAGCATGTGTACAGTGAAATGAGAGAGGACCAGGAGAGAAACTCTGAAAACTAAGATCTGGTTGCTAAAACAAACGCAACACTTTGCAAATGCCTCTAGGAGATGCTCTTAACTCATGTGAAGGTCTTTTTTTTCAATGCAGATTTGTACATCAGCAGGAATGCAGCACAACACGGAAGTGAAAGAAGTGCTCTGTTTATTCATACGAAAACGCAAAAAAATAAAAGATTAATTGTGATAAATAATCATAACTGCCAATTTGGGCCATAATTGTGCAGCTCCAGTCACTTGTATGGAAATATTTTGTCTACGGAACGGATGATGCGGACCAAAAGCAGGTTCTCTGTCAGCGGTGTCTAGCAATTGCTGCTACCACAAGACAACTGATGTGTTTGACATTTAAATCAGCACCACAGAACTCTGTATGACGAGTGCAAAGCCAGATCTGAATGTCATCCAAAGCAAAAAATATAATTTGATTGCCTTTGCCAGTGTTACGTCTTAAAAGAAAGGTCCCAACTGGTTTAAAGTTTTCAGTTTTTGCACATACACTCCCCTCCCACATCACACTAATCACTCTGGAATGATTCATTCTTTCCAATTAAAGTTATTCATTTGAAGAAAATTCCTCTATTTTATTATATTGCAGAAAAACCGAATATCAGAATGTCGACTTTTCCAAATATCGTTCAGCTCTAGTTGGAATCTTGTGTAAAATTTCAGAAGAAGTGAGTAATCAGGTAGTAAAGAAAATAACTGGCAGATGGTTCGGCCCGCGGGCACAGGGCATAAGGTGCTGCGCGTGTGGATGTCTTTCACCGTCCGTTTCCCGTCAACAAACTCATAAAATGGCCAAAATCAGATACAAATAGCCAGATTAACCAATAATAAAACAACAACAAAGCGTTTACAATCTTCTAAATGTGCTTGGAGTGCCGTACCTCTCGTACTCGTGGTCTTGGCACCGGTGATAGGGGTCCTGCACCTCGTAGATGTCGGAATCATCAGCATCTGGGTCGTGTGGCCAGCCGAGCCTGGCGCTGTGAAACGGCAGGTTCATGTACTCTGGGATCTCCTCATACAGAGGCACATTCTCATACTCCACTGATTCCTCCACACCTTCTCCGCAAATATCTGTCTCCACGATGCAGCTGTTGGGCCGCTCCAGGCTCCTCTCCCCCCCAGTGGACTCCACGCTGGTACAGTCCAGCGACTGCCCTCCCTTGGCCAGCAGCTTTGGCAGCATCTTCACCGACAGCCGGAGCTCCAGCAGCTTTCGGAAAGAGAGGCTCCTCTTTTGAGAGTTGGCCCGGGTTGCCAGGTCAGCTGCAGAGAAGGACTGCGCCCTCTGTTTGCCCCCCAGCCCTGGAGCTCGGCTCTTTGGTGGCACACTGCTCCTGGTGGGCATTTGTCTGCTGAAGAAGGTCACGCAGGGTCGCGTGAAGCGCCAGGCGGTTTTCTCCTGAGGAGGCGCAGGCAGCTCTCTCATGGGGGTATTAGCATGTGGAGGGGCAGGAGGGCAGATGGAGGGTGGAGGAGGTGCTGGCAGGCTGTGTCTCTGAGGCTTTCTAGGTGGAGCCCTCGGCGACTGTTGATCCTCAGCAGAAAAGGCCTTCCTGGAGTGAGCCAGAGGAGGGTGACAGCCCAGTTTGATCTGTTTGGGGAGGCTGTGAGTGATCGGGTACCGCTCAAAGTCGCCGTACCCGTCCTCCTCATCTTCCTCCACCCGCTGCTCCTCGTCCTCTTTCTCGTAGTCTGGTTGTGAGAGCAGGTCTAAAGAGTGGGAGGTGTGCTTGTTTAGAGAGGGGAACATGTGGAGTGTTCTGTGGAGGCGAGGTGAGAGGGAAGTCTGCCGAGGAGGCGGGACGGGCGCGTTGGTGTCATCATCTCCCAAACTAAAGTCCGTTGGGGTTACAGCATCATCACATGTGTCCTGTCTGAGCTCCTCACTCTCTGAACTCAGTTTCACCTGAGCTTCCTGTGTCTCAAGTCCTTGTTTTTGTTCCTCCACCACCTGATCCTGGGCAGCGCCCTCCACGCGATCCTGCCTCACCAGGGCCGGCTTTTTAAGCTTACGTGGGTGAGGGACTGGGAGAGGCTTACTGGGGGCAGCAGGGACCTGCAGATCAGGGTGTAACCTGGTAGGAGAGGCTTTGCTGATAAGATCACTGCTCTCTACCTGAAGGTGTTCTGCAGAAGACTCAGGAAAAGTAATAGTTGAAGAGACAATGATGCTGCCTGCAACATCACAGGCTGATGTAGAGTCTGTTGGATCTGTGTTTTGGGCCTCTGTCGGTACATCTGCTTTTGAAGCATCAGGCTCAGCACTTTCCTGATGTTGTACAGTCTCTGAAATGTTGGCCTTCTGCTCCTCAGTCCTCTGTGCCTCTTTGTTTACCGATCCCTTGTCTTGGTGTCTCTGCCTCTGAGGTTTATCCCTGGGCTTTTTGCTAATCCGTCCACCTTCACCCTTATCTACAGCCACTCCCTCCTCCTGGTTTTCTCCCTTCTCTTGTGGCCTCGTCCCTGCGAATCCCTCTGTAGAAATCCCATTCTGCAACAGCTCGTTGTGCAACTCGCCTCCAGTCTCGGTTGCATTTCCATTTTCCAGAGGCTGACACTGGTCCTCCAGCCCACAGGGGCAGGTGGAAATGATGTAATCCGATTCACGTCTGCGAGTCTCTGATAAAATCCCATTTCTGGAGTTGAGAAGAGAGAGGCTATCATCTAAAGCCTCCTGCTTTTCCTGAGATAGGATAATGGGTTCAGGGGGTTTGGGTGGTGGGGGTGAAACGGGAGGAGAGGAGGCTGTGGATCTGGGGATGCATGGTTTAGGGGCGACAGCTGGTTTTGCCCTCTTGAGAGTGGCAGGGGAGGGTTGGGATGGCTGGGAGAGGAGACCTGGTTTGGGGGCGATGGGTGGGGGAGAGGGTTTGGTGGTGGTAGTGGGGAGTTTAGGTTTGGGAGCTAATGGAGGCTTCTTCACACCTGCATGTAGAAAGAAGACAGAGAAGATTTAAAGACAATCATTGACTCGCATTTCCTTTTCTAGTTAATCATGCAGCAGCAGCACATAAAAGCATGCTTCATCCCCGCCTCCGCAAATATAAGCAGAGACAGCTGCTAGCTCGGGGTTAATGCTCGGGTCAGAAGGTCAATCTGAGGGTCAGGGGGGAGAAACTGAGGATTCCAGCAATGTGCAACATCAATTCAACAAAATGATGAGAATAAAGTATGCAAATCTGCTTGTCATGTCTATTTCGCTGCTATGTTTGAACCTATATACAGCACATAACTGATAATTGAGTAGTGGCTGATCCTACATGGTGCAGCACAGTAAAACTGGATTATTCAATTCAGATTCACAATTTAATTTGTGTCTTGCTTGCTGTTCTTGAAAGACCCTGGCATGTTTGGTATGTGAGGTCCTTTTTCTACAAGAACAGCAACAACACTGTGCTCTGTACAATAGATGTGTTACATCTAGGTATTTTCTCTTCTTGGATGAATTTATCTTTCAGTAAATAAGTCACAGCTGCTCTTCCTGACAGTTTGTATTGTTGTTTGTGCCATGTGTGGATGTCAGACCTGAGCTAGACGGTATATTACCCTCATATGTGGAGCTGGATTTGAAATTGATGACACATTCTGCATCCCATAAGGAAATAACCTGGTTAAATAAAGGTTCAAGTAGAAAAAAAAACTCTCCTCAGAGTCCCCACACTAATAAAACGCCGTGAATTAGGATTGTAGGCCATATTTTCCGCTCTACTGGCTGAAACTGTTGGCTGGCCGACACCACGAGAAGTGGAGTCATCGAGCGGATGTTTCCGAAAAGGCCAACAAGCAAAACCCGCTCTGCCCCCGATGCATGCTGCTGCCGCTGCAGGCAGCGCCGCGCACCAAACTCCGTTCAAACAGCATCAAATATAACGTCGCCCTGTGCTATAAACACATGCGCTTAGGTACTAAGCAAGTAATTAACACCTTTTCTCACCTCTAAGAAACACTTTTTAATTCGGCGACATCTTCTATTAGAAAACTTCAACTTAAGGAAACTTACATTAAAATTCACTGTGGATGGCGGTGGTAAGCCCAACATTACCCTGCTGTTATTTGATGCTTAATTTTTAAGCCGAATTTGCCAATACCTGCTAACAACATCATTAAAGATAATAAACTGTATTCATAAGGATAAATATGTCAATACAAAGACAAAACAACATTAAACTGGCAGATTTTAGAGCGGATTCTGGCCTTACGTTTGGCCGTCACAGCAAATGCCAGGTATCTGGACTAAAACATTTTTTAAAAAAACACATGTAGTTTGGTTCAAACGAGTTTCCCGAAACATCCCTCTTTACCTCGACAGATGTGAAGTGATTTCTGTGAGATGTTAACGCCGCCGCTCATTATTAAGCCCGACTTGTTGCATCAACAGCAGGACAGATGTTTTAAGACAAAGGATTTAACCCCCTCCAGCCGCAACACAGGCTGTAATAACAAACAGAAAGGGGATTTTTCAATGTGAGTTATGATTCTGTTTTCAGAAAGGACTGAAACTGAGGTCGAGACCGTTCACTTTTATATCTTTTCAAAGCTGTTATTAAGAAAAACTGTAATTAACTGCGGCTGGGTAAAAATAGAGTGGATGCTATCGACAGTAACAACGGTCAAACTGCACCGTTTTCTCATCTTCCACGACTTAACTAAAGAAACGTGTGTATTTAGTTTCTATTAACCACACTAGACGCTTACAAGGCAGGATTTTGCTAAGTTAAGTTAGCTCCCCCACGAAACAAACCTGTGCTCATGACTCCCGACTGGCTCCTTTCTCCATGAGTAAATTTGCTTTCAATGGAATTGCGAGAAAATATGCGTTTTTTCCTCCTTCGACACCATTGTCAGCGTGAAACCCGCTTCAGGGAGAAAACATGCAGATCCATCGCCGTTGGTCCTTATCTCGCCATTGGCTGCACGGATAAACTCTTTACGCCTGGTACTTTTTCCATTTTTCGAAGTTTTCAGCCACGGTGCTTTTCCCAACACTGTGAAGTCCGACGCAACAAGCGAGAGACTTCCGGTTAGTTGTCTAAAAATAAATCAATGATGAGGAAGACACATATATATTTGTCAAAATATCAAGTAAAGCAAGTATTTTAGCACAACAGTTGTATTTCACTCTATGTTTTAAGTACATACAAATACAATTCATGCCTTTTTGCTGAAATTTCATTTCAAATTACAGAGTTAGAAAATAATAATTTTTATTTTGAAGGAAACATTGATTATTTTCAGGCAGACTTTTCCAACTTGACAATACTTTTCCAACTTTACCAACGGTTCGGCCACCGCCTCTCATGACCACTGGAGGCGCTGTAAGCGGGAAAAGCGCATATAAAAGTGAAAATTCTCAAGTTTTGGTTTCATAAAAATTCTACTTTTTTTCAGAAAATATTCTAATGGATTATCAGTCCACATAAATTATAAAAAAGATAGATTGTTTGTTCTAAAAAGATCGGTTTTTCTAAATCTTTTGAGTTATGACAACTTCCAGTTGAATTATGTTCAGCCAACAAAATATGTTGAGTTAAGGGAACTAATATTTCCTCTGAAATCAAAAAAGTTGTTAATTACTACTAACATAATGATCAGTAGCATGAATACAGCTTTTAAATTGATTACTAATACAATTAAGTGGTTTCACATTATTTCAAAGAAATGTAAAAGATATTATGTAATTATTTAACTACAATTATGAATTATATATATATATAATTTTACCCAGCCGCAGTTAATTACAGTTAATTACAGTTTTTCTTAATAACAGCTTTGAAAAGATATAAAAGTGATATATAAAGTTGCTTCACTGTTAGGTAGGGAAGGTGACCAAGGTTATTAAACCAATTTCATTAAGTTACCTCAAGTTGACTTTAATTTCAAATCAACTAACACAGAAATACAACATTATCATTTCAATCCAACCAATCAAAAATAATGTTTGTAGCTTTAAAATCTGATCTAAATCAGTAAATAAGAACTATTATCTGGCAACCTTGCATTGGATAAAATGGTGGGAATAGGTCTTGTGTCTTCCAGCAATGCATTGGCTGGAAGACACAAGACCACAAAGAGAAACAATTTATTCAAATTCAAGCTCATCACTGACACAGGTTAGAGAAAAGTCCCTCAGACAGCAGACTAGACAGAATGACAGAAATACAATGTATGCTACAAAGAATTTAAATGATGGGTCTTGCAATACCATTTTATTGGACACAAATTGGCATTAAAGAAAATGAAATGGCAGTAAATGTTCACCTTGATTTCGACGTTAGCTTCAGCAGGGCAGAAATTAAGAGCATCATTACACCAAGACAGAAGGAAATGTGGCAGAAGGAAAGAATGCTGGTTTTACAGAGTTCAAATGTGAATGGGAGAAATTATATGTGCAGGAGGAACCAGGAGAGATGTATATATCCAGACTTATTGACATAGGGAAACACAATATTGACAGTTGTGGCTGCTGTGGAGAGGAAGAAACACTAGAAGATTTTATGATACACTATCAGAAAAATGAGGCAGAAAGAAGGCATCTAATCCAAAACGTCAGAAAGACAATGATAAAATTAGATCCCAACTCGTATTTCAGTATCTTAGACAAACTAATTTGTTTGAGAAGTGAAGCTTTGTATTCTTTTTTTAACGAATGTTGTAAATACGAGACCTTCTGATCGACATTAAACCAATTGGTGGCGGTAATGCATAAATTCGTCGACTGTCTACCCCAATAAACCTCAAGAATCAAGAAGAAGAAAAGCGCGTGCGCATTTCTCCATGAAGGGAGCCGTTGCAGAGAGGCTTTTTGGGAATTGTAGTTTTATGCCAAGTTTAGCAACCGGCTAACTATCAACTTCTCAACCGCTGTAACCGAGCTGACAGCGCTGCCGCCTACAACTTCAGAATGCAAAACGGGCTGCGTATAGATGGCGGAGAGCAATGACTGAAGAGTTTGACGAAGATGTGGTATTTGAGGTGTGTATTTCAACTGCCGTTTGTTGTCCAAACTTGATGCTTTGTCATACCGCCTTAGCTCTGAGGCAAATGTAGCGATTCATTAACGGCAGCTAGCTTACACGGATAGCCGTGCAAGCTAGTAGACGTGCTAGCTTCACTTAAGCAGCCGCCTGCCCTGTTGCCATGCAGCATTGTCAGTCCACAACAATTCCGCATATTTGGCCGGTTGTGAGTTGTGTTTCTGCCAAGGAGCTTTGGTGGTCATGAGAGGGGCTGAGCCGGGCTTGTGTGCGCATTGTTGTAGGTGTTTCATCATTACTAGACTGGTAGTTCGAGGCGGGGTGGGGATGACCACGTCCAATGCGTCGGTTCTGAAAAATGACACACGTAGCTGCATCTGGATGGTGACAACATGAGCTGCGACTTCGTGTGACGATGCATGTGAGTTAACTGTGTGACTGCAATGTAAGCGTGTAATTTATTAAGATGTGAGATGCTCCTGTGCAGCTGCCACAGCAGAGGGTGAGCAGCTGGAGGAGCAGAACTGGGTCAGGCATCTTTTGGACACATCTTAGCATGGGATGTTTTTCCATTTCTCTGCTTATTTTGCATGGCTGAATCTGATCTGGCTCTGAGCTTTCTTTGTCCCGAGTCAGATACAGTACTGCCTGTGTTTATCCCGCTTTGAGCATGCAGGATTATAACATGATAAGTTGTGCTCCAGTTTCCATGCAAAAGAGAGGAATTAAAGGAAATCTTGGGCGCCTGAAGAAGCTCAAAAGACAGTCCTGACATCTGTGTGTGCATGTGTTCACATGTGAAGGCACTTTGCTCCCAGAAAGGAAAAGTAAGCTGAATGGAAGGCAAATAGCTGCTGGGAATGAGGGTGGAGACTCGACTTCAGCTAAAGAATTATGAAGCAAAGTGGAGCAGCTCAGTGAATCAGTCATGCTTTTCCTCGCTTATCAGAGTCAGGACATCTTTTGATTCACACTGGGACAAACAAAGGCAACATCAGGTTGACTGTCAGCTCAGCACCAGTCAGACTGATGACCTAATCACCATGTTTTCTCTTTTTCTCCTACCCCGCATCCATCTGGCACTATTTTATCAATCATTCCCTCTTCTTCTCATCCATAATTCCTCAGCGGCTGCTCAGTCTGTCTGACTGTGTCTCTTTCTCTTTGCAGAACTCTCCTCTTTTCCAGTACCTGCACGATCTAGGGCACACAGACTTTGAGGCATGTCCAACGGCATCGCAGGAGGAGGAATATGGCGCACAAGAGGGAGACCTCACCTCTTCTGGCGAAGAGCCACAGAAGACTTCAGTGAGTTGCACACATCCTCAAAAACAACATCACACTTGCCTGTTTGATTTCTCTGAATAATCAACAAGTAGAATGTCAATATTAGTTTTGTCTTGTGTATCTCAAGTTTAATTTTACAACCAAGTGAAACTCAGAACACACACAGACTTAAACATGAAACACAATAAAATATGTAACAGGTATCCAAAGTCATGAAAACAATACCCTTCAGTGACCACATATGTAAACATAGAACCTCTTTTTACATTTTATAATCCACCCAATCATCCAATAGTGCCAACAACTACATGTATCTCATTTTTAAATAAAGTGCCTACAAGCTAAAGATGTTGTTTTTTAGAGACATGGTTTTTATTTTGACCAGTAAGAAACAGCTGTTTATTTATTGGTCTAAGACACTGGGAAATTATTACTTTAATAAACACTAATACAATGATGTCAAAAGGCTGTTTTACATCCTTGTCACTGGACATAGTTAGCCCAAAATAAATTACAAGAATAAGAAAATAATCACATATATCCAGGTTTAAACTTGACAGATTACCTGATTTTGAAATGGTAATAATTCCTAATTTAATTCCAATGTGCCTGGTCTGTACCATGCCAGAAAATACTGAAAACTAAGCCAGAGTCAATCTTTCAGATTGCTGGTTTTATCTAACAAACAGTCACACATTCAATTTACCGTACCCGAAGATGAAGACGAAGTACAAATGCACTTTTCAGATGGTGGAACCTGTACAGTACATTTGGGGTATTTTGCATGGAAAGGTAAACAATAATTCAATTTTAGAAAAAAAATTGCACAATTCATGTTTGTGAATTGATTCATCTAGAGCTGGGGTGATTCACCTATTATTTCTGACCATTTTTAAGCAAACATGCCCAAACGTCTTTGGGTCCAGCTCCATTAATGTGATTTGATGATCTAATTTTCTCTTTTTTATTTTATTACAAATGGAATTTCCTTCAGTTTGGGGCTCTTCGTCAGGCAAAATAAACCATCTGATCATGTCAGCAAGGGCTCTGGGAACATTTAACTGACATTTTTTTTTTCTTTTGCATTTTTCTGACATGTTATGGTCTAATGGGTCTGAATCAATAGATCCTATAATGTAACTAATCAAATGAAAATGTCAAACAAGGTCAAGGCGGGGCGCCCCTGACGAGCACCCATCCTTATTTTCTCTTCAGACTATCTGCATCCCTGTCCCGGGGCAGTGTGCATGTGCATATGTGATTGTCACTGTTTGACTTGTCCAGTCAGACAGAAAGTAATTGATTTGACTATTGACTCCAAACACTGACACATACTGGCACACGGTCACACATAGATCGCTGTGTTTATATCTTTCGCTTCGGTCAGACGACAGCACAGACATGTCAAGAAGTGCTTCCTACATACAGATGAAGGTACAGTTTCTTGCATGTTCTCTTCTCTGCAATCAGACGATCCCTTTTCAGAGAGAAAATCTTTATCTGTCTCTTGCTGCCCTGCTGTTGCTCTGATTTTAAAAGAGATCGCTCAAATGCGATTACTGAGACTACGCGCTGCTTTCTCTTTGACGTAATTCCTGCTTCTGTGACCATCCTCTGCTTTCTGCTGACGTTCACATCTGTACGTCTGTTTTCTGTGGAGCTGTGCGTGCTTTAGCTGTGCAATAAAAGGATTAAAACGCGTCTACTTTGAATAACACTGGCGTTAATCTAACTGTTTGCGACTGTAGTTTGAGGGTGACCTGCAATTCAGAGAAGTAGTGCATTCTGGGAAGCTCAGGATTACATGACTCGGCCTCTCCTCGTTCTCCCTCCTGTTGCGACGGGAAACGGTGCTGTGTTTGCTTCATTCAGGAACTTTCCGTATGTGTCACGCTTCCTCTCGGGTACACTGTTGTTTTAAGGAGTTGAGGAGGATGAGGACGAGAATCAGGCAGGAAGGCTTTTGGGTCGTCATTCCGTGATCAGTTTCCTGGAGCCCAGATAAAGCTGGAGTCGAGGCAAAACGCCTTGTTGACGTAGACACACTGCAGCAACCAGTAAAATAAACAGTGATTACTGAACTCATACGGGATCCAGACGTTATGCAGTAACCGTAGAGGCTGCTGGTTGGAGTCCTCAGCCATCAGTGAATTATTAACTTAATTACTTCCTTGTCATGATCCCTCTTGTGGCATTAGAGGACTTTAGTTATCATCCCAGCTGTAAATACGTGTAACTACGTGAGTCTAAAGCCTTGAAACTGTAGTTAAGTAGAATTTTATTGGCAAGATGAAACATGCCTCTGCACCGTTAGATGCAACCCTAGATGACCATATTTTATAGTCATATTAACCTGGTTCAGTTCATTTTGTTGTAGTTATGCTGCTTTAGCAAATAAATGATCACCAGTGTACTTTGTTGATTGCTGTAACAGGCATGTAAATAAGTTAATTATATAGAACTATTTTCATAATTGATTTACTCTTTTAAGTTATTTTTCAGGAGAAAAATGACAAATATTTCCAAGTTCCTGCTTTTCAAATGTGACTTTCTGTCTTTATATATGTTTGGCTTTTGAACTGTTGGTCAGACTGAGCGTGCAGTTGGAACTCATCACACTGGGCTCCAGGAAAGTATAACTTGATGTTTTCAGTGTTATCTCACATTTTAAAAACAATTAACAATTAATCAGATGTGTTTATGGCTGCAACTAATGATTATGTCCCCATTTAATTAGCATTGATTCTTGAGAAACAAAGTCCAAAACACAAGGTGATGTGTTTAGATTTTTAATTTACAGAAAAAAAATTACAGAAAATTCAGATTCTAATTGCCTGAGAGATGTTGGTTTCCTTTTCGTAAGCTGCCAGTAAACTGTAGGTAGGGCCAGCAACAGATGAATAGCTTCTAATTAAGGGCCGTGCATTGTCTTAGACGTTACTCAGGGCTTTTCCTGGCTCAGAATAGGACTTTGGGGGGTGACTACACACAACAATAAGCACGTTCAGCCCATATACAGTAAAGGCAATGAGTCTATGGTGCTTTATTTAACATAAATCTCTGCATTTTCCTGTTATTTCTGACTATTTGATTATGAAAAATGTCCATTATGCTTGAGTAAATGAGTAAATGAAGCTGCAATTCAGGTTTAATTCAAGTTAAAATTAAATTATTTCCCAGTTCTTATCATTTTGGCGCTGGTGAGTTTTCTTTGTTGTTGGCTAAAGCAAACCTCTTTAAAGGCTGCCAGAAATTTGTCAGTGCAAGAAAAACCCTGATTACCATCATGGAACTGAGGATGCAGCTAACGAAGATTCACGTTATCTGATAATCTGCCCGTGATCGTTATCTCAGTTAATCATGGAGTTCAGATTATGTATGAAGAGTTCCTAAGATCCAAGGGTGACATCAGACCAACTGGCCAAAAGACCCAAATGTTCAGTTCATTATGATACAAGACAAAGAAAAGCAGACAATTCTGCCTTTTCAGACGTAAGAAATGGTTAACATTTTGACACTCCCCCTGCACTGTAGCTTCCTCTAGAATGTGCAGATCTATGAAGTCGGCCATCACACCAGCTCACCCACAGCTCTGATCAAACGCTGTAAAACTGCTCTCTGCTGCACAATGACAAGGTGGAGTAATTCAGCTGAACTGAAAAACGATTCAGAGGAATAGTAACGACACAGAAAGCCGCATCCTACAAGTTGACAGGATTGGTTGTTTAGGTTTGTTACGTGTGAAACCCGGGAAGTCTGACTCCATGTTTTTGATATCGTCATCGATACTCTGCAGTTTGAAGGCAAAAATACTCAGCTATGGTGTCGAATTCTTATTGTGCTCATGATGTGTCTTCCACCATATAAAAAACACCATAGGGACATGACAAGAGGGGGAAAACTTGCTCTTCACTGGAGGGCATCTCTCGTAGTTTCAGTTTGACATCTTTCTGGGAAACACAGATCCTGAGCAGAGTGCTGTCGGTTCTCCCAAGTAATAACAATCCATCCAGGTGTGTAAGCCGCAGTGTTTCCCTGAGACAGCAGCAGAATATTGATGAGCATCAATAAGACGGAACCTGGACATTAACTGTAGTGAGCGTACGGATGTGTGCTTATCTGTACAGTTGTCTCTGTTTATTGTCTGCAGGATTATCCTCTTTGATACTAGAAAGAAGCCTGAACAGAGTTGTGGCCTACTTCGGCGGTAATCACGCACATAAACACGCCGTGCTGGATGATAGCCAGTGTTGTGTGAAAGCCCGGTCCTGAAGCTCAGTCCTCAATCAATAATCAATACGACTGCGGCCTTTTGACTAATAACACTTGTGCTTTACCCCCCAAAAAAGGGTCAGCGTGCAGGCTGCCCAGTCTGGATCAATAACCTGCTTCTGCTGCGAACTGGAGCACACACACACTTCAGATGTTATCATTCTGCTCTTTACACGATTCAGAGTTTTTTCATCTAACAGAACAGAGTGGACTAAAAACCTCACCACACAAACGTATTTCAAAATGAGCCCCATTTATAACAAAGCATTTCACTGATGCCGCTGAACACTGTAAGCAGATTAGTGAATAGTAAATCCTATTCATGAATAGGCATTACACATTAGATTTATTTCAGGCTCTTAGCACTTTTAAGGAAACTTTGCAACATTCTGAAAAGCCCGAGGTTTGTTATGCATCCACATGTCAGTGCATTTTGCAATGTGGAGCTCTGCTGTGGTCGTATCTCTCAGACTGTTTACAGTGGGAGTCCCTGGTGTTGGGAATGCAGACTCCTAGCAAGCAAGAAATAAAACAAGAGTGTGTCTGCAGTGTCGCCAGTGAAAGATATACCAAATGTGTTGTTTTTCTGAAACTAAAAGAGTCCTTCCTTTCCCTCTGTCAAGCCTGTATTTTGAAAGGATAAAAGCTACTTTTATTGACGCCGAAAATGTAAACAGTTAGAATACCAAAGTAGAGATTCAGCAAAGTGAAGCAGTTGTGTGGTTTTTGCGCCACAGTGCTGCTATACAGGACCAGTGGGTGAGTGTTTCACAAACCCACATTGCACTTATTGTTGTTGCCTGAAAGAATTTGTCTCCTGGGATACTCCTTTTGACCGTGAGAGTGTGTGTGTGTGTGTGTGTGTGTGTGTGCCAACTTGTTATTGGACTCAAGGTCAGAGGAAGCATGCCAACATGATTGAAAGACATGCAGGTGATTCATTTCAATGTCCTGATCAGCGAGGGCTGTATCAGAGCACAAAGTATTTGAAAAGCCTGCATAAAGATGGAACAGAGTGGCAACTTAAAGTTGGCGTCAGCAATTCTTATCCAATATACGTTTTGTCACAGCCCTGGACTGGATCGATCAACCCAGCACTGTTCTACGCATTTATGCTCATGCACAGGACAGGTGGAAAGATAGCGGGAGGGAAGAAAAATAGTCAGTGGGAGCGAGAGAGGCAGTAAATCAGAGGTTTGTACTACGAAACACGATTAATGGGTTAGAGAGGTATGTTGTGCCTCCAGTCAGGGTTTCCAATGTCAAGAAGGTGGCTCTCTCTTAAGCTGCAACATCTCCATAGTAACTGCCTCTGGAGGCGGTTATATTCAGAGTTTGGGCTTCGAATTGGCTGCAAGAAGCACCACCCTTTCACCAGTTATTTTCCTGACCATATTTTTTATGAGCGGTATAGATTGTCTACTTGGGGAATATGTTCTATCTGCGAACCTGTTGAGATGTAAGTTAGTGACACCACTGAACGAAACCTACATGCAGTCAGTTGGTTATGTTGGGAAGGATTTGCTGCTGGGTTTGTTTTACACTGAACACTGAATGTAAAATCGATTAGTCTGTTGGTATTTCTCACAGATCATGTTCAGTTAATAACATTCATTTTGTTTTGATTTGTGAGTTCACTTTGAATGAATAAAGTTTAAGAGCTCAAATGTGCGGCCTTAGTACTAAATGGCTGCACTGAGAATCACTGAATGCTAAAATAAATATATTCACTTATGCGATTTTCTACCAGCACTCCTCTCTGGTCTTATTTGCACCAACAGTGCTTTTTACAGTAAATCGCTTTCATATTCTTTATAGATCTCCATCCTAACAAACCGTTAACAAGCCACCAAAAAACTCTCTGTTTTGTGCATAAGAAGAATTACATGACGTGTTAAATGCTCTGTTACATATGAGCGCACTCAGAGCCTGAAAACCTGGGTTAGCAAATAAAGTTGTTAACTACCAATATCTCTGCTCGGGTTTTAGGTTTTGTTAAGCCAGCTAATGCAAAGAAAGTCTGGCTTAACTAGCTAAATATTAGCAACTTTTTTCCAGAATCACAGACTTCATCTTTAATTGACTGAGATGAGTCATTTCCTCTGTGTTTGATTTGCAGGGAGGACGCCTATGGAGACTGGCTGAGGCCTTGTGGAGATGGAGCCCAGTCCACCAGGCGGCTGCATCTCATAAGCTGGAGCAGCAGCTGGTGGGTAGAATGAGAAACGGGAAGGAACGCTGGCACTGAAACCAGCAGCTACGCTCAAAAGCAGCTGTTTAAGCACTTTGTCGCGTTTTCCTCCCAGGACTGCGTGTTCGGCCAGTACTCGGTCAGGTGTATTCTGGACCAGGATGTGCTGCTTCAGGAGGACGTGGAGCTGATCGAGCTGCTGGACCCGAGTCTGCTCACCCTGGGTTCGTCGCCCTCTGGCCTACCCAGCCGAGCGAGCACCCTGCCCAGACCGAGCCTCATCGCCAGGCCCTCCCTATGGTACGCTGCTTTGCAAGAATCACAAACAAATGTGTAGTGGACGGGAAAAATAATGGAAACACCTGAGAAAATTACAAGACCGGCACAAACTGTAGCTACAATGTCAGAAATTACAGAGCCATATCCGGTTTTCACATATTTTTAGGATTGTATAATTATATGGAAATAAAAGTTTATAAAATACACTTTTTGCAGGAAAAAGAGCACTAAATTGTATATATGTTTCTAAGTTTTAAATGTTTTTGACTTTGTGATGACATTTCTTGACACTTAACTATTCCCCAAGCTGGAATTAAAGACTCCCTCTGGTAAAAATCCAGCTTTTTATCTTAATGTGTCCATCGGTTGTTTGGTAATATACTAAAAGAGGCATCATCAGGGAAATAGGCTGTTAATGCTTATTGAGGAAGCAATGTTTGGAGTTACATCTATGCCATTTAAAGGTATGAATAGAATATATTCATGGGGGAAAAAAATATATAGGTAAAGCTAAATGTGTAACCTTTACACACAGAGACAGGTTTAAAAGGGTTTAATCAACAACCAGAGAGAGAAATTAAGTTAATATGTCTTCCCAAAGTCAGCATTGAACCCCCATGCTCAGTTTTGATTCTAATAATATCTTAACAAACAAGAACCATGTGGTTTTAGTTTTATATTTCCATAAAGTTGGGGGTCTTGTGAGAGACAGACTAAAAAAGAAAGTGAACAAATAACCCTGATCAAAATTAATACACACATATCCTGATTTTCAGCCTCTAGTACTGGTCACGCTCCTAAACATCCAAATCTTAGACTTAATAAAGCTCAGAGCTGTTTTTTTCCTACCTGCCTGCTAAAAGTCTGTATGACTGCAAACTGTAAGTCCAAACATAACTACCTAAAGTTGTAATCCTTAAGATTTCAGCCATTCTGGATTTGATTTCATGCTACATATGGTGCAAATAAAAGCAGCAGGTCTCAGTAAAGCTGGATGTCTTTCCGAGGAGTTGGAGGTGTTTGCTCCTGCTGCTCCTTCTTGGTCCATTACACTGTGCAGCAATAAAAACTGAGCCACTGACAAAAAGTTCTTGATGTATGATTGCAGTTGGTGCTAACTTCAGTTACTAATACAGTGTTTCCTGTGACTTCTTAAGATTAATTGTGTCACTGTTTGTCACCTGACTGCTCTAAAAGTGAAGTAGCACCAGGAGAGGATACTGAATTTATGTAGCGTTAGCTCAATAAAGCTCTGATACAGCTGCAGGAGAATCATCAGTGGGCACTGGGTTACATGCTGCATCATGTCTTCATGCTTGTGAAGGCATTTTTAGTTAAGCGCAGAAAAAAAAGCTGTATAGACAAGTAGTTAGAGAATATGCATCGACTCAATGGCTATTGGTTAAAAAAAAAAAGAAAAAAAAAGGCAGTGGTACATGGTAGAAGACTTTAGACGTCTGTTTACTTCTGTGTACTCTGGTCTGATAAACTGACACTGATATGTAAAATTGTGGCCCTTTAATCCAGCCTTGTGGATATGCGAGCGTCTAATTTGTGTATTCTTAATGGACACTTTATTATACCGCTCTACCACTCTCCTCTCTCAGGGACATGGCAGGGCTGGTCGGCCTGGCTGCAGTGCTGCTGGGACTCTGCTCCGCTTCTGAGGGCCTGTGGTCGCTGGCTGCAGCCCCGTGGGGTCTGGCCCTGCTGGGCTGGGTGGGGCTGAGGGGGGCCACGCTGTGGAGACAGGGCCGGATGCAGAGAGCCGTCCACACCAGGGCCACACAGCTCCAGACTCTGGTGCACAACAGCAAGACTCTGACTGGACTGTCTCGCAAAGCCCTGCGTCTGGTGCAGGAGACCGAGGTCATCTCCAGAGGGTTCACCCTGTAAGTGTGCTCGTTTTGCACCCACCTACCCATCACCCAACCACATCATGATAACGGGCATCACATCTTTAACTGTTTGATCCAAGCCTGATTAATTTTTTCACCGCTTTACTTAGTTAGTTAACCCACTTGCCCTGGTATTGCGTCCACAGATGTTTTTTTGTTTTTTTAGACCACTGTAGTCTCTGTCTGTCTGTGTAGCTTTAGCATTGTCCGTAGAAAAACACTGTGTAACAGCATTTTACTCAAATCACTAATTATTATATTTCTTGCTGAGACTTAGATGAGATAACTAATACCACTGTTGTGTCTGTTAAATAAATATGAAGTCATAGTCAGCAGCTGGTTGGCTTTGCTTTGCTTAGAGATTGAAAATGGAGAAACTCAGTCCAAAGGTAACAAAATCCACCTGCACCTCCACCTTTTTACAAAAGTGTTTGTGTGGATGAAACAAAAGATGCTGCTCGGTGGGCTTCGTCACCTTTTAACAGTCTTCACCTGTTTACACTCTTTAAGCAAAGCTAAGCTAGCAGGCTTTTGCATTTACCTCACAGACAAGAGGTTAGGATCAAATTTCTATACTGATCAAAAATATAAAATGCAGAATGATTTTTTAAAATTAATTCTGTCCATTCTTTTAAACATTAAGAAATAAGTATTTGTTGCTTCAACACATGACATCTTCACATCAGAGTGGATGTCATCAAACAACCAATCACAGCTATGTTGGAAATGATGATGGGTAAATTCAGAGTGGGATCACAGGCCAGAAATCACAAGTTGGTAACAAACGTGTCCACCATTTGCAACATGTAATACCACACAAAGACACAAAGAGTTCATGCAGTTCGATGCAGTTTGTGGAATAAAACAACCACTCTTTCTGAGGGACTCGGTAAAGTTGATGGACAGCTTGAGAGACAGGATCACTTTGGTGGATATATCCATCCAGAGCATCATGTGGCAAACTGTCTTTCGTAGCACGCTGTCTAAAACGATTTCTTAGATGACAAATGGTGGAGATGTGGACAGTCAGGTTTCTGGCTGCAGCCTTAGGTGACCTGCCAGCATCCAAAAGTCTGTTCTCGTCTTTCTCTTGTCACCTGTGGCATTGAGTCATTAGAATATAGGTGAATTTTAAGGAGAACTTTTATTCTAGTAAAGGACAGTCTGTCTATGGTCACACTATCCCATCATTGTTCTTTAAAGACACACCTGACAAAGTGTGTAACTTGATAGTCAAGAATTCATCAACCTTCAAAAACCTTTGATTCAGAATTAGCTAAACTGAACCTTTTTCTAACCACAGCAACAAAAATGTTAGAAAATAAAAATTAAAACAGAAGACCATTTGCATGCTGCGGTTACATTTATTCTAATTCGAAGCAAGAAAACAAATAAGCTAATCTCCCAAAAGGTCAAACTGTTGGTGGAAACCTTCTGAAGCTTATGTTGTCTTGTTCGTCACACCTGCCTGTTTTTTAGCACTTTAACGTAGACTTCACGTCCAGATTGTCTCCGTGTATTGTGTCGTGTGTTGTCGTCAGTGATGTGGTGTTCAGTGTTGTGTGTGCCCCCCTGCCTTACTGGGACGTCTCCACAGTTGTATCACATTTCACTTGTCAAGTTTGCTCGACAGGGTGAGTGCGGCCGGCTCCTTTAGCAGGGCGGGGCCAGGGGCGGTGCCACGGGGCCAGCAGCTCATCGGACTGAGGAAGGCCTTGTACCGGGCGCTCCGCTCGGCCTTCAGAGCCTCACGAAGGGCCACCTGTCACATGCTCAAGGCATATCCTTTACCTGAAAAGACAGACTTAATAATACCTCCAAAGAGCTGTTTAATCATGCAATTATGACCTCTTTTATAGTAATTTACACATTGCTTCTTTTCCTCTTCTTTCATAGTATTAATCAGGGCACTTAAAAGCACCATGACTTGAGTGTCCTTGTCCCTTTTCTGTTGCTTGTTTCTCGTGTCTTGTGTCTGAAGCCATGTGATCCATGTCATAAATATCAGAGTGTAAGGGAAACGTAACAGCCTTTGCAGTTAACAAGCGTTAGTAAGCATGAGGAGACGGCTAAGGCAGGAAATCCCAGGATCTTCTTTGATACCAGTAAAACTGATGCTTCAAAGTCACTCAAAGGCTTGAACATGCATTTGAAATACAAAGGAGCTCTTATGCATTTATGTGAGAGGAGCTTTTTCATCACACAGAAACTAAGGAACATGTGACATTTTATAGATACACAATGTTGTGCGTCTTTAACTCCTGCCAACGTTCCCTCTGAACTCTGAGATCGACAATGTGACAAACTACGTGTCTGCGGTGCCTCTGAAGGAGCTGGGTCTCGGCCTGGGAATTGAGCACCTGGGTGACGAACAGGCCCAGGAGCTGACCGACGACTACAGCCTGCCCGCCCTGAAGGTGAGGCCCGAGGGTTGAACTGAGGGCTGCAGGTCATAAAATAGGGACGATATGGTTCAGAAAGGTGGAGTAAGTAGGAAAGATGTAGGACTGTAAGGTATGGAGTGTGCTGTTCAGGCATTTTCAGTTGTTTCAGCTGATCTTTCTCTAAATCTTTCTTTCTTCGTCACAAAGAATCAGCTGTGGTCCACTTGGCTACTTGATGGTTCCAACAGATTTCAGTTTTCACCTAACTCACTCCTCTGCTGTCAACATTTATGTTTAGTATTTTGTCAGAACTTGTTTTGTGTAAATGTGGCCAAACTGCCTTTCTGTGACAATGGAGCTTCAACTAGAGCAATAGTGTGACAAGAAAGTGAGTATTCATGCACTGACCTCAGTTTGGCTGTTGAAGAAAACAGCCTGAAGCAGCAACGGTTGAAAGACTGTGTCAAAGAAAGAAAGAAAGAAAGAAAGACAGGAACAGTACTGGTAATATAATATAATGAGGGCCTTTTCTCACGTCAGAGCATGCATGAAGCTCTCGAGGTTGTTGTTTATCTGAGCTTTGTTGTTTTGTCCTCCTGCAGATGCTCTTCCAGCTGTGGGTGGGACAAAGCTCCGAATGTTTCCGCCGGCTGGCTCTTCTCCTCTCACCACACCGAATAGAGGAGCCGGAGGAGGGAGGACCCAAAGGATCAGCCTCCCCTCCTCCTCCTTCCCTTCCGCCCCCGCTGCACCGGTCCATCGCCGCAGTGACCGAGCCCCTCCACCACGCTCTGGCCAGCTGTCTCGGCGAAGTGCAGCGCAGCTACGACTTCCACCGACACTTCGAGACCCAGCCGAGGACGACAGGCTCCGACAGGACGGGACGAGCCAGAGAGAAATGCCGAGAGCTCAACACCTTGCACACCTCCATCCGAAGCCTGCAGCTGCACCTCAAGGCCCTGCTCAGCGAGTGAGACACACGCACACATAGAAAAGCTCCACTGACTTCATTCCACACCTCCCACATGAGGAGATGAGACGTTAATAACAGTTTGAGGGGAATAGGTCACTGCAGCAGGAAAAGAGCAACAGCACACAGTGAAGAAAACATGATTAATCATTTAAACAAAGTGACAATACAATAACAGATTGTACTAAGAGAAACAACTTTCTTAAAAAAATATTTCTATTGCATTTGCGCCACAACACTCATAAAAAACTTATGATTTAAAAGCCTGTGGAGTCACTTCATAGATATGAGAGTACCGAAAGGCTTTCATTACTAAATAGAAGAAATGTTGGACGAATAGTGTTTTCCATAAGGCCGACTTGTTTCCAGGTGAAAGCTTGTATACCTCAGTAGTCCCGTTTCTATAATGTGCTTTCATGCACATTTTGAAGCATCGCTAAAGAAATGTGAATGGAAACAGCAGAATTGAAGAAAAACTTGCTCAGTTTTGCAAAGAAAAAAGTTTTTGAGGCGATTATTGACTTTCAGAGAGACAAGAATGTCCTTCATCGGTCCTAACGTAGCGAACATTAATTCTCATAACTGATTAGCTGTCTCCGCTTCTACAGACTCCCAACAAAATGAAACATGGCCGATACCAGCTGACATGAAAGAATAATTGTCACTTTCCCAATTGAAAACATTTCCTGAAGACTTCCCCCCCAGTGGTTGGTAAACAATTGGCTTTGTTTCCAGCTTCTTCTGCTCAGTTTATCATAACCATTTAAGTCTATACCACCCCGAGTTTATTCACTCCAGGCAGTTGTGACATTTCATTAGTTTACTTCAAACTCACTTGACAGTTATCTGGAGATACAGCGACTGATTTCCTCTTTGAATCCACTAATGAATTACCCCCTTTTTACAACAAATGATTACAAGTTTGGAAGCATTTTGTTCACCATCAGTCAAATAACGTGCACACTGTAGGAGCTCATAGTGACTGAACAACAGATGAGAGAAAAAAGGAGGAACTACTGTTTTGCTACTTGCAATACAAAGTAGGGGACTGCTGCTGCTGCTATTGTTGCTCTGATTTTTTGTGACACAACGTGAAAAGTGGGCACCATCACCAGAATATATCAGGGACACGACTCTGGGGTTGGAAACATTCGTTCACATTCCACGTTTTCTCTCTTTTGACCTTTTTGATGATTAACTGGCAGCAAATTTCCGTGTTTCGATAGTTAAACCTCTGAACCTCGAGTAGTTTGTGAGTGTTTTTTGTTTGCTTTCTTCACATTTTTACCCACTATGGGTGTGTTTTTTAACATTGTGCACCTCAATAGAAATGGCACAACCATAGCTAGAAGCCGAGAGAACTTAAAAATGCCTTTTGTGCAGCACAGCACAGCTACAATACCATAAACTGTAAGAAAAAAAAAAAAAAAGAAAGAAAAAAAAACATCCAAGTTTGATTTTCTTTGACTATTTAATTTCCAAAAGTTCTCAAAACCCAGTTTGACATGTACAATGTGTGCCCACAGGTGCTACCAAACAAATTATAGATATTTTTTGACTTAAATCTTTCTTGTTTACCTTCTGGTCTCCTGTCTGCTCAGTTAAGAACAGTCTGCAGTTCAGCTCAGTCCAGCCAAAAAATCCTAGAGTTTCTATCACATGAGACAACTGTGTCTTTTTGTGGTTGCACAGATTTATTTTGTTTTATTTATTTATTTATTTTACAGAATTGTGCAAATACTTTATTTTTGGCAAATTTTGAAATGAGATTTGTAGAATAAAGTCAATTTTGATGAATTTTGCAGTTTTTGAACTTGAATTTGGTTTAATTTTCCCAACTGAACCACACGTCACATGATTAGTTCAGAGGCTGTAAGAAAGTTGAAAATCCCATGATTCTCTCTGTTTTTAAATATTCTGGCTCTGATAGACAGTGTCATTTTGGGATATTTTTTTCTACAGACAAATTGCCTTTCTAACCAGCCTGCTAGTTTTTGGTTTCACGGGGTTAAAGCCATAACAAGAATGAGAACTGGGGGTGTGATGAATTGCTCTGTATGCCCATTTCTGACAGGATTATGAATTATGGTAAAAAAATAAATAAATAAAAATTATTATTGTTATAATATTATTTTATACTGAATACCAAACACTTCGAACGATGAGACTGACTGTCCATGTTACTGATCCAGACAGTGTTTCCAGATTTTGAATCTATCAACATTCCTCCTCCTCTCCTGTCTTTTAATATCATCAGGATGATCATCCTGGAAGACGACCTGGAGAAGCTCATGGTGTCTAAGGAACTGACAGAGTTAACACTTGAGGGCTACCAGGACCTCAGCGACCGGCTGCACCAGCTGCAGCCACACATGCAAGCCAGCGCTGGCTGCTGGGAGGACACCATCAGCCAGGTGGAGCGCATGCTGAGACGGGCCAACGCCTGTCCAGGTGAGCACTCAGCACCTTCTACAGTTCTACAGTTTCATTTAGCAGACGCTTTTATCCAAAGCGACGTACATCTGAGGGCAGATACAACACAAGCATGGATCTAGTCAGGAGAAAACAATCTGGATAAGTGCCATGAAACAAATTCAAGTGTGATCGAGTGTTGATGCCAGTAGCAGGCTGTGTGGGAGGTAATAGGATTTTTATTAATTAAATTTTTTTTGTGTGTTTTCGGGCTGTCAAGTGCAAAGGTGTTCAGTGAAGAGCTGGTCTTTAGTCTTTTCTTAAAGACTGAGAGAGAGTCAGCAGATTGAACAGAGTTTGGTAACTCGTTGCACCACTGAGGAACCACAGCGGAGAAGAGTCTAGCTATCGACCTCAGGCTCTGTTGTAGTGGTTGTATCAGGAGGTTTTTGTTGGTCGAGCGTAGTGAGCAGGAGGGAGTGTAGATCTGAATGAGAGAGTTCAGGTAGGAGGGAGCTGCTCTCGTTGTGGTTTTGTGAGCAAGTGTCAGAGTTTTGAACTGTAGTCCTGAATGTAGTTTTATTTTTCATTGTGTAAAGTTTAACTGTCGGACAGCCTCATGTTTCCGTCAGTATATCATGAAATACAAGAAAACCAGAACAGTGACTCCTTTTTTTAGTAGCGCAGTGGTTGCACATTACTGAGGGGTTGTTTTTAGGTCAGGTCACCTCCTTTGTTTAACATGACTCAAGACGATGACCAGCCACGGAGAAAGCAACTCCACAGGACAAGAAACAGACCTACCAGACTCACACAGCTGTCAGCACAATGACAAAGCTGTGATACCAAGGTGTTGAGGTCATTTGCTGTTTCCTTCAGTAATGTAAGCCGACTCCATGTATGCAGGTAACGCTGAGGGTCTGGAGCAGTGTGGTCCTCCCATAGCTGAAATTCCTGCTCCTCCTCCATCCTACCCCCTGATCCTGGACAGAGACCCCGTACCAGAGGAGCTGGTAAGATCAGACATCCAACTTTCATTTGACTTTTCCTTTATCCTCAAAATTACTCACCTTGTAATATATAATAAAAAAGGAAAGGAAACAACATGTGTCACTCACTCCCCATCCCCCAGTGTCTCAGTGATTCATTACGCTGTAGTCAGTCTCTCCCACCGTTTCATCCGACCAGGAGTGGGAGGCCTACGTGTCCGACTCGGACTCAGACGGCGAAGGCAGAGAGTCGTGGTGCGACTCTCTGTCACCGGAGGAGCGAGAGCGGCAGCGGCGGGAGAGGGAGGAATCTCGCCGCGTCCTGTCGGAGCTGAAAGCTGTCCTGGGCTTCCGTGCGTCAGAGGAGGAGAGGATGAAGAGGAAGCAGCTGCTCTTCAACGACCAAGGTCTGCACTGCTGGTTCAGATATTCCTGACATGAGGCTGATTTTATCTGGAATAACAGAGTCTGTGTTTCTGCTGATTCTCAGGGTGACAGTTCGTAGTAAATCCATGCATGGAAAGCTATTAATAGTGCAGTGCGTCTGTGGGCTTTCCATTGTGGTCAATTAATACATCGTATTAGGCCTGAAACACAGCTGTAACTAATGCATAATTTAAGTGATTTTTAAAGCTGACTTTACCATCTGAATGTGATAATCAATAATCCATGGTGAACCCTCCACTTTTAGGAATAAATCCTAATTTGACTTAACTGTACGTCTTTTAGAGAAAGGTCTGTAGGTCATCAATTAACAGATTCATTTGGTTTATAAAAAGAGATGTATTCAAATGGCAACTAAAACCCCCCCAAAAATACAATTTACTCTCACAGAAGTCTGAGAAAATCAGTTAATATTTACATTTGAATACTTTGATCATTAGCGACTTATCATTTCAGTTGATTGCCAACTAGTTTTCTGTCAGTTGTAAAGTCAGCAGACATTTGCTGATTTTCTCAGTTTTATATAATCCTAAATCCTAAATCCTCTAGTGTTTGTAACTTTGGCTGCAGATAACAAGCAATGAAGACATCGCTTTTGGAATTTTTCACTACATTCTGACATCGTAATTGTACAACAGCTAAAAAACTGATCAGTGAATAACAGTCATGATAAAGAGCAGGGCTGTGACTTTACACTGACATTTAAAACACACACACACACACACACGTTTCCATGATGTATTTTTATGCACATTTTTGAAGTATCACATTATTACCACATTGTTTTTTGACTTTTCAAAAAATAGTTACTGCACATGTGTGATGAACACCTTTTTTATTTTTATTTTATTTTTTTAAAATAGATTCTGACACAAGCAACACTTAACTCACACAACACTCACAGACTAACACAGGCTCAGTCTTTTTATGAGAGCTTCTGGCATTGCCACTGTCAAATTGTCAAGCGCTCCAGGCCTCTCTTGCAGACATTTTGAGGCCTTTATTCACACTTTTCCACAACTGAGGGAATTACCCACAGTTCATAGCATTGCGCTGTTAAACATGAGGTTATCAGGGGAAGCCCAAAGACATATTTGGGGAGAAGAAAAAAAAAAAACGGTAAACAAGCAAGCATGGAGAGAGCTGCTTACTAAGTGTTGCAAGAGTAGAGTTTACTTGTTCAAAATACAAACTCATAGCTTGCTGGTGATTCACAGCCACAAATGTGTGTAGCTGTTTACCCTCTGATGGCATGATGATGAATTTCATATACACTTCAACTGCTGTTCCTATTTATTTTGCTTCCTATTTATACCATTTCAGCCTCTCGTACTCAATCACTTACCAAGTCTTGCAGTAACATCTATGAGGGTTTAGTCCTTAGGGTGGAGATTGGGGCTGGACCTCCTGACGGCATTAAACGTGGCTGATACAAGCTTATATGATAGAATAATTACAACTTACAACAATTCTCTCAGTTTTGTTCTTGTAGGTGTCCAAACTTGAATTTGTTTCTCTGCGTTTGACTCTTTCAACTGGTCGTAAATGTGCTTCTAGTGATTATCACAGCTTCACTGGACAAAAGGAGCCTAGCAGCAGCTTCCATTGATTCTCTGAGCAGCAGACAGTCAGTCTACGGAGCCACAAGGCCTCCTACATTTCTTATATGCTGGGGGAGTATGCTGTAGTTACCCTTTAAAGGATTCTCCTAGACATGCTAATCTCTGAGCAAACTGCATTATATCTGTCGTATCAGATGACATATGACTGACTTGTCCTTATCAGATTTGTAGTAAAAGGTCATGGCTACAATTGAATATGAGTCTAATCCTAAGTGTGATGTTTCTTCCTTTCTCGCAGCTGCCGCGGCGCTTTCAGTTCGCACTGACAGTTCAGATCCTGCCACAGAGCCGTCGGACGCCCCGATAGGCTCAGGAGAAACCGACGATGTAGAAGGAAACCACCTATTGGAGCGCTCCGCAGGAAACGAAGAGGAGGAAGTAAAAGAAGGAAAAGACGGCAGGGTGAGGCCTGACCCCTCCACAGACCCGGTGACGGAGTTCAGCTGTGGTTTGGAGGGAGGGGAGGTGGGGGGAACCTCGGTGTGCAATCGAGGAGGAGGAGGCGCGTCGGAGCTGCACCAGTACGACGGCGACGTGGAGGAGGGGGAGGGGCAGAATGGCCTGGACTGCTTCCTGAAGCCCAAAGTCCCCGCTGTGTCTGTGATGGACAGACTGACGGAGATCCACGGCTCGGAGGCGCTCAGCTTCAGCTCCGCCCTCGCCGCACAGGTGGCCGCTCGCTCGCACTCGCTCATCAACATGGAGGAGCAGACGTTCGGAGACGAGGAGGAGGATGAAGAGGAAGAGGAGACTGACAGACGAACCCCTGAGAAGGACTAGACATTGAACCCCGCTGCTTTAACCGAGCACTGAGCAGAGACTGTATTTATGTCTGATTGTCTTTTATCGGTGGGTCTGTGTTACATCTTCACTGTTTCTGGCGTGGAGGTATTTCAAATCACGATACTCTCCGCTACCATCCGTCCATGTTACTGTGCATCACCCACCATTCTTACTGCTCTTTTGCTGTTAAAACTCAGGTACCAGAACCACTAAAACAAAATACGACCTCACATCGCTGAGGTTGGGAGATCAGAATGTCAGCAGTTTACCCGGTGACATCCACATAGTGTATATTGATCACAATCGTTCAGTGAATGTGGAAGAAACACGTGATTGGCATCATTATGAAAAGTGTAATAGAAGAAGAAAAATGCATTTTTTTAAATTGCAGTTTTTCCTGTGTTACTGTAATCAAAGCACTCCAGTTTGAGTTACTGTGAGGAAGAAAACTCTAAAGATGTTTGGACAGAAGATGAATGTGACTGCTGGGCTGCTTGTGTTTATTCAATGTACCAACAGTTCAGACAAGCGAAGACATCAAACTGTCATACAGAGTTTTATTTTTAACATATTTCTTCTTGATACTTCATGAACAAGAAAACCAACATGTAGCAAACATTCAACCAGGCATATTCTCAGATGTGAGTTAGTGTCTGTGATTATGAAAGAGGAAAATCCATCCATCAGCATGCCATTTCCAGACCTCGCTCTCCACAGCAACATTTTCCAGTTCCTCCTGGCGAGTCCTGAGGTGTTTCCAGGCCAGATGAGATATGTAATCCCTCCAGAGAGTTCCCAGGGTCTCCTCCCAGTTGAATGTTCCCGGAAAACCTCCAAAGGAAGTCGCACAGGAGGCATCCTGATCGGATGAATGAACCGTGTCAGCTGGCTCCTTTTGACGTGAAGGAGCAGCGACTCTTCTCTGAGTGATCCTCTGAAACACTGAGCTCCTCACTCTGTCTCTAAGGCTGGGCTCAGCCACCGAAACTCATTTCAGCCGCTTGAATCTGCTATTTCATTCTTTCAGTCACGATCCACAGCTCATGATCATAGATGAAAGTTGGAATTTAAATCGACTGGTAAATCAGCTCAGTGTCTCAGCTCCCTCTTCACCGCAACTGTCCGATACATTACTGCTGACGCTGCACCAATCTGTCTGTCCATCTCCATTTTTCCAATCACACGAGAACAATATCCCAACACAGAGGGATCAATCCACTGTTTTCCCATCAGAGAACTGCGGTCTCAGACTCTCTTGTGGCCACTTCACACTTGGCTGCAAACCGCCTCAGTAACGGTTTGACGAAGGTAACAGAACCACATCATCCGCATAAAGGCAGAGACGTGACTCTGAGGTTCCAAACCGGACGTCCTCCTCAAACCGGCTGAACTTTGAGATCCTGTCCATGTATGTCACAACCAGAATCAGAGACAGAGTCCAACATCCACTGGAAATGTGCTTGACCTTGTGCCAAGAATATGAGCAACACTCTCTTGGTATTAAAAGGTTTGGTTTTAAAAGAAGCAGGTAAATAGTGCACTTGTTGGGCACTTTATTAGGAAAATCTGAGCAATTTAAAGGTGCCGTTAGGCCTGTTGTACTAAAAAGTCATGGTAATGTTTTGCCCCTTTGTGTATGTTCATGTGATGGACAAAATATTACTTTTCAGCCCACTACAACCTCACTAATAAACACAATTAGAATGAACACATCTCTGATAATGTCAACAAAAACCCCAGTTTAATAAGCTTTATAAAAGTAGAATTTACAGTGGTGCTGTTGTATCACATATGAGTTACACTGGTTTCCTAATGAAGTGCTCTGTTAGCATAGGTGGAGATTTCAGGGATCAATGGACATCAGGATGAAAAAAATGACTAAATAAAGGGGAAATTTGGGGTTAGAAGTACAAAGCAGAATGAAAGATGAGTATAAAAATAGTTGAATAACTAATAAAAATAAACAGGAAGTAATAAAAAGCCAGAGTTGGATTCGGGTGATGTGAACTGCTGTGAAGACTCATGGACTGTGCAGGAACCTCCAAACTGTCCTGAAGTGCATCTTTTGAGTCAATGTTCTGCAGTTTGGGGGGTTGAATAAACACAAATGGTCCAGCGGTGAAGTTTGCACTCCCTCTGTGTGAACACTCGCTGTACAGCTAAAGGTTGAACTCTGCTGATTTCCTGCAGGCAGACAGATTGGTGTGAGAGGGAGCTCTGCAGGAAGAGGAAGCCAAATGCTATTTTTACTATCGGCGCTTTATTTTTGTGCGGCCTCCTTCTTTCTGCGATCCATCTCTGCGCTGTCTGACGGGACACAACTGGGGTAATGCGGCCGAACGTACTGTACATTCACAATCCTCTTTCCAGTGACGTATTTGGAATACAACACTATTGTATCTACGAACAATCCCATTCTCTCAGCGTATGTGTTTACAGGGGCACGCTCAGTGGAGAGGTCGGTTTTCGGGCTGAATTGCGAGTTTATTGAACTGCTGGTGTGGTAATTTAAAATAAAAGTTGATTTTCTCTCTTGTGAGGGCAATCCACACGTTTATGTTTCATGCGGAGAGTCCGACAGCCCTGATGTTTGCCCCCCTGCTCCACCTCCTCCACCTCCCTGCTCTCTCTTGTCACCATGTCTGCCTTGTCCTGACCCCTCCTGCATTTTCCAGTGTGAAATAAAATACCATTCTGGAAGTGTTCGATGAAGTCTGTCCTCACACTCGTGTTTCAAAAGGAGGGGGAGGTTAAGAAACAGGTTTGGTCGGTCATTTGATATGTTTTGTGGGATTTTGCTTTTGTCTGACCTACAACAGCTGCTGTGCCCCTTTCAAGTCCCTCCTGCCTTTGGAGACTCCCACAGACCTGTAGAGGCACAAAGTAACTACGTCTTTCCATTTCATCTCACTTGGGAAGTGTACTTTCTACTCCAGCAGTTACAGAAAAACGAGTACACCAATATTACAAAATCTAACACATTGCTGAAGATTAGACCAGTAGTTCCCACTCTTTTTTTTGCTTGTGGTCTCTCACAAACAAACTAGTATCTAGTTGAGGCCTCTCAGATGAGTATATGTTAGAAGTTACTCCATGAATCTTCTCCGACACTTTAATTAGTTGCAAATCTCACCAATATTTGACAAAAGAGTAAAGATTAGAGGAAAGTCAGATTTATTTTGTCATCCAAACTCTTCCAAGCTGGTCAAACTAGCTCCATCTTGACTGCAACAGTAAAATGTTGTTCACACATTCATGCATCAGTATAAACAAACTACTACATAGGATTATATCAGTCACAGGGACATTTTACTGCACAACCTCTACTTTAATACATATTGTTTGTCATTATTTTGTTCTTCCGCTATGTAATAATTTAATAATAATTTGATATTGCCCCTGCTGGAGTGTTTTAGGAAAGAAATCAGGCTTTAATTTGGCATTAAACACACCAACCAGGAAGTGGTTCAAACATACAGAGCAGGTATTTAAATAGAAAGACTTTTATACACAAATTTGCTGTTCTGGTCACTTTATTAGGTCGTTTGCTGTAATGATTTTGCCACCTAGTGGTCAAGTCTGTAACTGACACTGACAAAATTCAGTAATGCAGATAATATAGGAATGATTAGATTAGATTTTTTTAAAAATTCTGTTTAAAAATATGTGACTGCAAACATAAACTTTAAGTGTTTTATAATGTCTCAATAATAATAAGCACTTTTAGGGTTAAATCTACTACAGCTTTGATCCATTGGTTATTATGAGTTTGTAGTAAAGCTTCTGATATTATTATTATTTTTACAGAGATCAGTACATCAGTACATCTGTTATCCGTGTATTTTTACCTCACTGCAGGATATTTCCTCTTTAGGATCCTGCTCACTGCTGAAGCTCCACTTCAGCTGATTCGGCATGTTTTACTTAGAGATGCGTTCAAGTGCTCTCCATGCGGTCCGATGTCTGACCACCAATGTTTACAACTCCAGTTATGGATGCTATCAAATAATTTTCATAGGTCATAAAATGTATTATATATCTGTATGAAGCATTAACTCAACGGAAGCTGTTGTTTACTTTTACAATAAAAATGACTGCGTTTGTTAGGACAGAATGATGAAGAAAACTAAAACTACACTTTTAATGCAGTTTATAAACATCAGAGTCACAATCTGTTTTATTGTCGAGCAGGTTTTCACATGCGAGGGATTTGACTTGATGTTTTGGTGCATAACAGTAAACACGTGCAGAAAACTTGAGGAACTACTTTTTTCTTTTTTTACTAATTAATTCAAATGTAACACAGAGAGGATGTAAGGCCAAATGTCAGCAAAACTCCACACCTTATTTTATCTTTACATACTTTCATGTATAAATAGCTCGTTCTTTATTCTATTTCGACGAACTAAAAGTAGAAGAAGAAGCCAGAGAAGAAGAAAGGGGGTAAATTGAAATAAATAATGAATAATGCTGGTTAGAATTGTAAAAACACAGAGTGTCCGTGAAGGCAGCATCACACACAGCTCTCCCACAATCCCTTGCGCTGCCTTTTCCAGCAGCGCCTGCGATCATGGCGGACGTGGTTGCGGAGCAGGCAGTGGAGCAGAAAGCAGTCCAGGAGCCGGAGCTGAACGGGGAGGCGGAGGACAGAGAAGAGGCCGACCCGGTGGAGGAGACGGCGAAAAAGAAGAAGAAAAAGAAGAAGAAGAACAAGTCTGCAACGACAGGTGAGGCTGTCCCCAACACTTCCATGCTAACAGGCTAACGGAGCTAATGCTAATGATTAGAGCTGCGTCAAGTCCGACACGGTGAGAAACGACAGAGCAGGAAAACACGGGCTGGTGCCTTCAAAAGAAAAGCAACCAACAGATTTGTCCTAATGCTCATGTAGTCAGGCTTCAGTTGGAGTTGAGAAAAATAACTAAATAAAATGTAGACGCATAGTTAAGAAACTTGGACAAGAATCACAATACACATGTTTAAATGTAAACTTAGTAGAATGACAGAAACACGAACAATGATCACAATAGCACATATTTAAGATTTAAAAACAACCCAATTTAAAGAAGAAGTACTGGAGGTAAAATATGACGTAATAAAAAAACTGATTTGCCCCAAGCACACAAATGAGTCATCTTGCTCTGCAGGTAGTTGCAGGTTTTGCAGTGCACAATTTGTAAAACTGGATTTTCCAAGTAAAGCAGTCGTTTTTGAGGGTGTGGTGACGGCCTGCACTAACATCCAGCAGTGAAGTAATGTAAGGAGGTCAGACATCAGTCAGGGTCTTGAGATTTATGCTAATTTAATTTAGATAAAGCATTAAATGTTACAGATGAGATTCTTTTTAGCATGATGTCCAAACTGGTATAGATGGTGCTTAACTAATATTATTCACCAAATTCTTGACCATATTCATATTTTGTACACTTTCCTCAGGAGGAAACGACAGCATTAGGTCAGTGTATTAGTTTGAAAGACAAACGTGGTTGTCATGACCCTTTCAGAGAAATTATTTTGTCAGTCATATTCCATTTGTGATGCCAAGTCACCATCATGTGTATCGCACACTTAAAACAAACACACGTTGAGCCAAAGTGCTTTCAGTTGAGACATAAGTTTAAATATGAAGGTTCGTACCGTGCAGTGTTATATAGGATTGGTTTGCTGTGTCTTATAACTTTCTAGACAAATTTATCTGACTTGTTTATATAAGATTAGGACTCTACAATACCATTTAAATCACAGATTTAACTGAAGACTTTTATTAAGATTAAGCCGTATAATTTATATATTATTCAAAAATGTACCTAGAGAAATTCAATATTAATATAAAGACCCTGTAGTATTATATAAAACACTAAGCTGTCTGACTAGAACCATCAAGATCAATAATATGTACAATACAAGCACAGTTTATAAGCATCTTAGGAAGCTCGGTTTCAGATATAGGCGTTTCTGTGAGGTTTATTGTGAAAATCGTGCCGGAAGTCGTGTTGTTAAACAGGTCGACTTGGCGCCGCTCCTCATTAGCCATGCGGGTTCACAGCAGTGTGGGTTGTGGAGCTGAAGCGCCTGTCAGGCCTCATGAAACACACCAGGCTTTGGCCAGAGCTTCACCCGGAGACTGTGACACTTGACTCGACTGTTGCAAAAAGTAGTTTACGGCTCATACTGACAGAAACCGCGTCCGTCCTGTGATCTGCGGGCTCCTGTTAGCAGCTGTTTTGCTTGCTGACTGCGCTGAGCTTCAGCCAAGTTTTGCTGTTTCGTAATTCTCCCTTTGCCAGCGTTATTATGTAAGGAAAGAAGAACCAAAGAATTATTTCTGGACTACAACAGACACAATAGAACTCTATGAGCCATCTGTTCTCATCCACTTTGCACCAAACTCCAGTAAATTCCAAACAGTTTACAAACATTTCACCACATGTCACATGTTCAGGACTTACAGAACATTTAAATCATGGGTTTATCATGACAGCAGACCATTCAGTTAGGAACACCCAGAACAATCCAACACATTTAACTATTCATTATTGAATTCACTCATAGTTAGTTTTTAAGCTGAAAATAGTAATAATAATTAAAGAAACAGATCTCGTTGTGGTTATTGAGCAAAATCACTTCACACGGTGGAAAAGCACATTCATCAGAAAACAATAATATAAACCCACTTTAGCTCATTGTTTTATTCCGTAAATGTACTGACATCTGTCTTTTTTATTCTGATAAACAACATCCAATGTTACTGTTGACTTATAAGTATTAGTTTGTTAGTTTACTTAAATTAATCTAATGTTAATATTAATAATATTAATGAGGAATATTTGTTTATGTATTAATTGAATTCACATCAATACATTGATCGGAAGCTATTAATGTTATATACTACATTATTTGTAATATAATATTAAATGTTATGATTAAATCATGATTAATTGCAATTACATCCCCTGTAACTAATATAATTCTGATTAAATAAATAGTTGATAAAATTCTAGTGAAAATGTTTTTTAGAGCGATACAACAGTCCTCTGATTGGCTGACAAGCTCTGTGGTTGAGTGATTGATCCCTGGACCGTCCACCGCCTCAGTGTGCTGTTGCAGTACGTTGTCTAAGTTCATATCGTCCTTCTTCGCTTCACTTGACTTTGTTATTTTCTGTCCT